ATATGAATATAATATGTTCTGAGAAGTCACGTAATCATTCTATCTTTATAAATATTTTTTAACCATAGGAATTGTGTTATTTTGAGAGGGTATATTATTATTATTATTATTATTATTTTGGAGAGGTTTTTGCTATAGGGCACGTGCACTTGCCAGACAGAGAGAGACAGAGAGACAGAAAGCGAGAAATCACTCCCCAGCAGGGATGGTCACACCGTAATCCCTTTTTCTCCATTCTCCTCTCGGGATCTTGGACACGCATGCACATGTGCCCAGCGTGAGTTTTAAGCCATCGGGTCTGGGACACGAACCGCGGTCGACTACGTGGGAGTCCAGCGACATAGCCATTATGCTAACTGCTGGTCCTGAGAGGGTATATTATTTTTTAAAAAAATATTTATTTGATTCCATTTGTTATTATTTTTTATTTTGACCAAAAATGACAGAGAAAAAAGGAAAGGGAGACAGCAAGCTACCAGGTCTGAGACTCAAACTGTGGTTGGCCACATGGGAATCCAGCATCCTTAATCATCACACCACATGCTGGTCCCTGGAGGGTATATTTTTGAACAATAGTTTAAAAGCAAACTTCATAAAAGACAATATACTTTAAGATACAATAAATATGTCTTCATAAACATTTTTTAATCACTGGATTAGACCTCACGGTTTTTCATGTAGAGCAGGAAGTGTTTTTGAGGATAATGTAATTCAACCTTTGCATTTTATGGATTTTGAAACCAAGATTTAGAGAGATCATAGGAGTTGTCACATAGTTATTTAATGTCAAGATTGGAACCAAAATTTAGTACCATTTCCCAGTCCAATGATCTTTCTAATGTTCTAATTATGAATGATTTATTTACAAGTAACAAAAGCCTTTTCAAAGAAAGAGAAACCTTATCCAGTCCAAGCGGAAGAAGCACAGTCCAAGAGAAGCAAGAAATAGTTCAAGTTCAGTGTCAGAAAATCTTGACCGAACATTTGCCCCCGACTTTCAGTCACTAGACCTCCATGGCAGTCACCATCCAAGGTCATCAATGTCTTTGCTATGGGTGGTGCTGTGCAGGGATCTACACATTTATCCAAGACTGGGGAGAGTCTGTGACCGGCCCAGGAAGACAGCCCAGTATATCTGGCTTCATCATTTTTGAATTGGCTTGTCTGTGAATATGTTTTTTTTTGGAGAGGTTTTCACTATAGGGCGCGTGCGCTAGCCAAACAGACAGAGACATAGAGACAGAAAGAGAGAAATCACCCCCCAGGGGGGATGGCCACGCCACAATACCTTCTCCTCCATTCTCCTCTCGGGATCTTGGGCACACACGCACACGCACCTGGCGTGAGTTTTAAGCCCTTGGGTCTGGGACGGAACCACGGTCGACTACGTGGCAGTCCAGCGACATAGCCAGGCCCAGGAAGACAGCCCAGTATATCTGGCTTCATCATTTTTGAATTGGCTTGTCTGTGAATATGTTTTTTTTTGGAGAGGTTTTCACTATAGGGCGCGTGCGCTAGCCAAACAGACAGAGACATAGAGACAGAAAGAGAGAAATCACCCCCCAGGGGGGATGGCCACGCCACAATACCTTCTCCTCCATTCTCCTCTCGGGATCTTGGGCACACACGCACACGCACCCGGCGTGAGTTTTAAGCCCTTGGGTCTGGGACGGAACCACGGTCGACTACGTGGGAGTCCAGCGACATAGCCATTACGCTAACTGCTGGTTCCCCGTGGCTGTGTTTTCAAACACATGGTCTCACCAGCGTCACAGATGTCGCAAGCATTCAGCCAGCCCCACTCTCAGCGTGCTCGATATGCAGCATAAACCGTGAAGGGACAGTTGTCATGATTTAATATAGGCAGCACTAGCTATTGGTGATTTAATTGGAAGTCCAGTAATACATAATTTCTGAAATTAAGTTTATCAATAAGCTACTGATTTAAAAACTCCATAGGGTCACTGAGAGATAGCAGCAGAGCCAAAGTTGACAGCATTGAAGAGATGTCCACCTCAGATCCAGTCATTACAGGCAACGGGTGAGAGACACATGCAGAGAGGCTCTCTTTCCAGAGCTGTGGAGCCAAAGGCTCAAACAGACATAACTGAGCTACACCGCTTCTCATAGGCCGTCCACGGTACAGCCATACCATGACCACGCTGACCACGGAAGGGGTCACAGTACTGCCAGATGCACTCAGAGACAGACTGGCAGCTCCAGCATACAGTTTTGGATATGGAAGATAAATCTAAAACACTAGGTTTTGTAAAACATTAAGTAGCAGCTTTTGTACTGATCTTTATGAAAGAGATTTTTGAGAATATTCGCCAGCATTTTCCCTGCACAGACATGATACCCAATGTAGTTGAATGCATAAGTGACCCAAGAATCTTACAAATAATTTTTCACAAGTAGGTAGTTTCCTCCTCAAAAAAAATGTGGTCAAATTTTATGTGAAAATACGTCTAATATCACTTGTAATTAAAAATTGGTTTAGGCACCAGATCCTACATGGCTGACTCCACAGTTCAAGTATATATGGGTATGTGTGTGTGTGTAGTGTGTGTGTATATATATATACATACTGTGTGTGGATATAGTGTGTGTGTATATACTGTGTGCGTATATAGTGTGTGTATATACATATATATATATATGTGTATATTTAGTGTGTTTATGTATGTGTGTGTATATATATATATATATACTTTGTGTGTGTGTATATATATATATAGTGTGTGTATGCATGTATATATATATTGTGTGTGTATATATATAGCGTGTGTATGTGTATGTGTATATTGTGTGTATATATATATTTATATACACACTATATATATATATTTATATACACACACATACACACACATATATATATATATATATACACACACTGTATATGTGTATATAGTGTGTGTGTGCGTATATATGGGGTTTTTTTTAGAGAGAGAGAGATTTTTGCTATAGGGTGCATGCACTTGTTAGAGAGACAGAAAGTGAGAAATTACCCCAGGTGAGATGGCCATGCTGCAATCCCTTCCCTTCCATTCTCCTCTTGGAATTGGAATTCTGGGCACGCATGCACTCATGCCCAGCGTGAGTTTTACGTCGCCAGGTCCAGGGCTCTAACCACGGCTGACTATGTGGGAGTTCAGTGATACAACCATCACACCATCTGCTGGTCGCTCTGGTGTTCTTATTCAGATTTATTGGCTCTGTTTTCCTTTCCTCAACCTCCCTCTCTCCTTAAAGTGTCCCCTCCTCTCCGTTAAAACAGTGCAGGAGAGATAAGGGGAGAAGTCTAATCTGAGTAGCTTGTTACAGTGGCAAATGTCAGCCTTACTTTGCTTAGGCTCTCAATTTTTATTATAAAAATAATATATGCTTGTTTATTATGACAAAAATTGGAAAGTACAAAACATTTTTAAAAAATCATAAATGTGGCATACTTACATTCTTTTATTTTGCAGTCTTCTTTATGTAACCATAGTTAATGATAATTTATTTTATATCTTAGAATAACTAAAAATGAGGATTTTAGCAAAAAATGACAAATGATTGAAACAGCATATATGTTGCTTACCACAATAATCAGTTTTCATTTTATTCTTGTACTGAAAATATGAAAATACCACATATATATATATATAAATACAACATAAGTATGTGCAATTATTATATACCAATAAAAAATATAAAGGGTCATGTTGTATGCACAAAGATATATTTTATTTTCTCTAAAGAAGTGTGTTCTGTCTAAGAGCAGCTGTTGTGCTAGCTTGTCTTTCTCAGTCACTCCCTCATCTAGCGACAGCCCTGAATCCTGCCATGTGGCTGCAGGTGTGGGGCAGACAGTGGCAGATAGGCTAGGCATGACCCCACCCTCGTGGAGTGGCCTGTCTAGGGACACAAGCTCTGCCTTGCTCAGCCCACTGTGGAGCTGGGTAAGGAACTGGGCCATCCCTGGGACAGCCGAGTGCAGTATTGGTGACACCGTGAGCAGGAACTTCCCGTGTCAGCAGGATGCTTCGTCATCCTCTCCTGTAGTCCTTAGAGTCCCCTAATTACTTTTGCTCTCTCATGAGATACAAATAGAGTGAGCGAACCATGATTACTGTTTCTCATGACAGGTAAGTCACACTAATATGAATCAGCTCTTTACAACAACAAAAAAGAAAAAGGAAAGAAAGAAAGGAAAGAAAGGAAAAAAATCACCAATTTAACAAGTTAAAACAAAGAAACTTGGAATGTTATCCAGTGCATCTGTCCCATCTTACTTTATTTATCTACTGTGTATTTATTAAAGAATAAGGTAGAATGTTTATGTTAACTATATCTCATTTTGGCTTTTTCCAAAATGCTTACTGACAGCCCTGGAGTGGGAGCTGGTCCTCAGCAGCCCCTCCATGGGCTGTGCGTAAACCCCTCCGTGTCGCTGCATGTCAGAATGTCACTGGGGCATTCTGGACAGAGACCAGGATGACGAGGATGGCCAGGCCTGGGAGATTCCAGGCAGTGGCTCTTTGTCAAACAGTGTGAAAGTATTTCAGCATTTTAACTACAAGTGTGACAGGCTCAGCCTGGGAGGAAACCTATCATAGGGTGATTTCTACTCCAGGGAAGGACACAATAATGGTGAGAGCAACTCCTTAAAAGGAGAGGCTTGAGTGTGGCCGAGCCTCCATTAATCCTAAAAATTAGAAAGTCCAAATCTACTGAGATGATTAAAAAAAGACAGTGAGAATCCCTTAAACACAATGAAATCAAATGTAGACATTATAGGAATACTGCTTACTTATCATGGGAGAGAGGAGGGAAAAGGAAGAGGTCAAGGAAAACCTCTTTGCCTAGGCTTGATAGCTGGGAGATGGAACTTTCTGCTTATTTAAAAAGAGAAAAGTCGGAAGAAGGACCCATCATAGCTCGGATACATCCATGACATGGTAATGTATGAATTTCAATGTGTGTGGTAACATTTTAAATAGTTCATTCTCTTTTAGCTTTCCTTATTGGAAAAGGCTGGATTTGGAGGTGCTCTTCTATATATCGATCCTTGTGATTTACCAAAGATGGCAAATCTCAGTGCTGAGACCTTCGTGGTGTCCCTGAATCCGGGAGGAGACCCTTCTACGCCTGGTTACCCAAGTGTCGGTAAGTTTGTTGTCCGCGTTTGTTACACCTGTGAGCATTACAAGATTGCGGCTTACATGGATGTGCTGCCTACCTCAGTCAAGGTACAGTAATGTCAAATCATTCTTACCTCTCTGAAGTGAAAAGGTGATTGTTTTTACCCCTCAAAATTAAACTAATTTGTAGGAAACCTAAAGTTTTACAGTCAATTTTTAGCTCAATACATCGCAGTGTCCTGTACAGGCAGCAAGCATGTTTTGTTTGTATCATTGAATGACTCATAGGATAAGTTTCAGCACCAGGGACAGCACTCAGTGTAGCTAGGAGTCTGTACAAATATGGAGGAGTGTGAAACCTCTACTGCTTTGGGGCAGCCGTCAAGACTTGAAGTCTAGAGTCTCAGGGTAAATGAGTAAAGTGAGAGAAGATGCCAGAAAAGAATTCAGTTAATGGAATCAAATTATGTAGCTCCTTAAAAGAAAGAGCCTCACTGGTTTCGCCCATGAGTGGCAACTTAGAGAGGGCCATGATTGCAAAAAACACCCTCCTTTCCCAGTAAGCTGTGCCTGTGAGCAGATGGCAGAGAGACCACTGAGATTTGGGCCTGTGCTGATGGTTTCATTGAATTTCTGTCCAATGCGTCATTGACAAATATCTATATATGTGACATGGTCAGGGAAAATCTCTTTCAGCGTTCTTCCAGGATGACAGTGAACCATTAATGATGACACTTTATTCCATAATTAAAGTACGAATTAACAAGAAAGCATGGTGTAATTACCCATGTGTTCTGCTAGTGTTTTTCTTTCTTTCCCAAAATGGTTCAGAAGACTTTACTGGTTATCTTCCTCGAGTCTAGCTTTGCTTCCTCTAGGTAGTAATTTACCAATTGGTTAGCAACTTCCGCCAAGAAGGGAGTGAAGTGAATCAAACATGAATTATAATTGGTGCATTTTGTTGAGTTTACTGATTACTGCTTTTGCTTCGGTGCACTGCAAAAATGCCCCTTGGATAATCCCAGTAAGAATCTTCTCTGGGACTTCCCTGGCCTATACTTCATGCAATCCATGGTCTTGTCACTCAGATTGTGAGATCAGAATTTGTGGACTTAGATCTGCAATTTCCAGAAATCACCAAAACAGCAGCCCAGCTCTCCCGTTTGCAAATGTTCTCAATGCACTGGGTTCTGATTCCTCGGATCCTGGAGGCCGCATTTGGCAGCTAACTCTGGGGCAAGTCACTGGGCTCAATGCCACCCCTAAACCAGATACTTCCTGAGCACTCTGGCAGTGTTGAGAAGTCATCCAGCTGGCAACATTGCACTTGAATGTTTTTTGGGCGTAGTTCATGTCTTGAACGTATTTAGCAAAATGTTGGTCGGAGTCCTAAACAATCTCAGGTTGCTTTCTTCTTTCATTTTTATTTTAAATAATATAAACTTATGAAGAAGTAGCAAATAGGGCATTATATGTAGAACCGGTGTGTCTTTATCAAAGAATCCCCTAACAGTAATGTTGTACGTCACTGCAGTCAAATTAGCAAAGACATAAAATTAACGCTAATAAATAGTATTAACTAATTATAGGTTTTATCCAAATTTCTTCAAGTTTCTAACTAAATTTTTTTTTTCTGGTCCAGCAGCCAATTTAGATGTTCGTATTGTATTTAGTTGTCTCGTTTCTCCAATCCTTTCCAATGTAGAGCAGATTTTCCATATTTCTTTTATTCTTTTGACATTTTTTAAAGAATATTGGCATGATATTTTGTAGACCGTCCCTCAAGTGAGCTTGCCAAATAATTTCTAATGATTAGATTGTATTATACTTACAGATTTTTGGAAGAAGTTCTGTGGAAGTGACATTGTCTCTTTTCAATGCCTGCTGGGAGATATCTATTGGGGTTATGTCTTATTTTTCTTGAAGCTGACTTTGACCCCTAGGTTATGGTGGTGTCTACACATTTTCTCCACTGTCTATTGTATCTCCCTTTATAATTCATGAGTGTCCTGTGGGGAGCTATTACAAAGCTGTAAATATCCTCTTCCTAGCCGTACTTCTCATCACAAACTTTAGTAGCCTTCAGTGGTTCCTGTCTGTCACAATTACAGTGGTATTTGCCACATGATCCTTCCCTATTTCCATCATTCCTTCAGAATAGTTTTTAAAGAAACACTTTTTTTTTTTACAATGAATAACCATACTTCTCATGTTCTCAGAGAAAGATGAAATGGTTATATGACATTTGGGGAAAAAATTGGAAGTCAGACCGCTTACTTCCAATGTGAATTACCAGTGCAATAAATGGCATTATCTAGTATTTTACTCAATGTTACTTATATAGGAATAACATGAAAACTTTCTTCACAACTATAAGGTCTCTTTTTTACATATGAACCTCCACATAGTAAACAAAAAAGGAAAATATACCACTTCTTGTATTTCTCTTTTTGCCCTGGCTAGTAAGACACTCTGATTAACTGCAGTGGTTTATATCTCTGGCTTCAGACTTGGTCTTTCCTCCTAGGAGTTTTTTCAATATCTCTGTGTTTTGAGGCATTGTTTACATTTTTTTAAAAACCAATACAATCTTTGCTGGATTCTCATGCAGTCAGCCACAGCTTGAGTCTCAGACTTGGAGACTTAAAACTCACGACAGGCATGGGTGTGTGTGTGCCCAAAATCCTGAGAGGAGAATGGAGAAGGGATCGTGGTGTGGCCATCCTTCTGGAGGATGAGTTCTTGCTTTTTGTTTCTCTGTATCTCTCTATCTCTTCAGTTTGCACCCTATGGCAAAAATATTTCTGAAAAAAAATTAAAAACACAATTTTCTACAAATCTCTTTCTTGAGGGGGAGGGGTTGCGGAGAAGGCAGGTTGTGAGGTATAAATAAAAACTATAAATGAATCTGTCCAAAGTGAATCATATTATCTAATTTAATACCCCACAGTATGGTTTGTTGAATGATTATTAGAAGAACTACACCAAAATTTGGGCCAGAAGGTGGTATAATGGTTAAAGCACTGGACTCGCACGTGGCCAACTGTGGTCTGACTCCTGGATCTAGTGACTTAAAACTCACTCCAAGAGCATGTGTCTGTGTGCCCAAAATCCTGAGAGGAAAATGGAAGAGAAGGGATTGTGCTGTTTCCATCCCTCCTTGGGGTGATTTCTCACTTTCTCTCTGCATCTCTGTCTCTTTAGCGAGCGCCTACATCCTATAGCAAAAAATAAAATAAAATAGCTACCCTAAAATTATCTCTAGCTCCAATTTTAGGAACTGTATTTTATTAACTAATTAATTAAGGGAGATTAGTCCCTAAAGAAGTAGAACAACCAAAAATCCAAGAAGATATTTTAAAATATCGTTTGGCTTTTAAGATAAACACAGTAAACAGAATAAAATAACAAATACTACACAATCTTCACCTGGCTTCATCAACTGTCTATAGTCTACCATTTTTGTTTTGTGTGTGTATCCCCTATACTCCACAGTGTCACCAGCTATTTTTCCAGATAAAATTTACATAAATTGAAATGCACATGTCTTAACATAGAAACGGCACACTTGTGGCATCCCCATGCCGGTGCAGCTATAGACATTTCCCAACACCAGCGTTAGGAAACCACCCATCTCAGGTTGTTTTTTTTTTTAAATTGTTTTATTTTAACTTTCTTTCTCTCTCTCTCTCTCTCCTTCCTGCCTTCCTGCCTTCCTGCTTTTCTTTCTTCTTTTTAATTTGACCTTAGAGGGACAGAGTGAGAGAGAGAGAGAGGGAAAGTGAGAAAGCAAGCCGCCAGGTTCAGGACTCGAGCCACAATAGGCCATGTAGAAGTCCAGTGACCTTAACCACTATGCCACCTGCCAGCCCTGGTCTCAGATTTTAAAATGGCACAAAATTGTAGAACTTCACAGAAATGGAAACACATGGTATATGTTACATCATGTGAAGGTTCTGCTCAGAATAATGTCTGTGGTATTTATTATGGTTGGGGTATCAGTTTTTTCTCTGTTGCTGTTGCAGAGTATAGAACAATTTTTGTATTGATTCACATAAGTGATCTTTAAACAATATTAATACCAATACACTCTTCCACAATACATAATGCAAATGGTTGTCCAAACAAGGCACAGGAAGTCCATGGAAGGTAGTTCTGCTCACACAGCCTCATTGGATACCAAGTGATTTTTGATTAGTGTAGAGTTCGAGCAAAGAGTAAAAGGTTTCTAAACACTCGGCCCTGTGACCCAGAAAAGCATGTGCTGCATCTTTATTCTAACAAAAGCAAGCCTTTGGGGTCATTAGCCCTATCAACCACTCTGAGTCTCGGTTTCTTCACAGTGAAAATGAGGATTGTGTTAACATTTATTTCACAAGATTGTCTTAAGGAAATTCAAAATCTTGAGCTCCACGCAGTCTTAATCAGGAACTCTGTTCTGAGAAGCTCACATGGTCTGATACCCTGTAACTCTTTCACTGACATACTGTTAACCCAGGTGTTTCAGTTACACTAAGCTATGGTCCAAGGAAATACTGTTTCCTAGAACCGTATGATTTCTGAATTCTTAGAGCTGTCAGGACTTATATGTAAGATTCTAAGCTCAGCCTTGAAGCTCTCGACTATTTTAGCCAGAGACTCGGGTAAATGAGACAAGAACCGATGTTTACTGTAACTGGCCATGACTAAAACACAATCGGGGGGCGCATTTGACCTAAAATAATCAATCACCTACAGAAGGGATGTCAGAGAGCTATAGGGTAAGCATAAAAAGGGAAGGGTTTCTTTAAGGAGGATTCCATTTGATCTCTGTTGAAACATGGAAAAGAAAAGCCTTTCCCAACCTCTAACCATTAAGATTGTCTGAAATCTCAAAAACTAGGAATAGTATTAAGTTGAAATCCCTTTCTCTATAAATACTTTCTTTAATCATTTATCTTACAGATTTTCTCTTAGCTGCAGTGTTGATTTTAATTTTAGTACCACCTCCAAATAACTACCTGGCCAGTCTCTTGACTACTGGTT